GCCACCTTAGGTGTATGTGGCTGGCGCCTTAGCTGCTTGAGCCACAGGCGCCGAGCCGATGTGGGATAATCTTACTGGAGTTAGATGATATCTCACAGTGGTTTTGATTTGCATCTCTCTGAAAATTAAGGATGATGAGCATTTTTTCATGTGTCTATAGACCGTGTGCCTGTCTTCTTCAGAGAATTTTCTATTCAAGTCCCTTCCCCACTCTGAGATGGGATCATTTGTTCATTTCTTGTTAATATGTTTGAGTTCTCTGTGGATTCTAGTTATTAAACCTTTGTCGGAGACATAACCTGCAAATATCTTCTCCCATTGTGAGGGCTGTCTGCTTGCTTTACTTACTGTGTTCTTGGCTGTGCAGAAGCTTTTTAGTTTGATCAGGTCTCAGTAGTGCATTTTTGATGTTGCTTCACTTGCCGGGGTGGGTGGGGTGAGGGGGTCCTCCTCATAAAACATTCGCCCAAGCCAATTTCTTCAAGAGTTTTCCCTGCACTTTCTTCTAGTATTTTTATAGTTTTATGTCTTCAGTTTAAATCTTTAATCCAGTGAGAGTCTACCTTAGTTAATAGTGAAAGGTGTGGGACCAGTTTCAGTCTTCTATAGGCCGCCAGCCAATTCACCTAGCACCATTTGTTAAATAGGGAATTTTTTCCTCCACTGAATGTTTTTAATTGGCTTGTCAAAGATCAGGTACCGGTAAGTAGCTAGGTTTGTCTCTTGGTTCTCTATTCTGTTCCATACATCTACCTCTCTGTTTTTGTGGCAGTACCATGCTGTTTTTGATCACTGTCGATTTATAGTATAGTCTGAGGTCTGGTAGTATAATTCCTCCTACTTTGTTTTTATTTCTGAGTAATGTCTTGGCTATTTGAGGTTTTTTCTGATTCCATATAAAACGAGATATTATTTTTTTGAGATCTTTAAAGTATGACAGTGGAGCTTTAATAGGGATTGCATTAAAATTGTATATTGCTTTGGGTAATATGGACATTTTGACAATGTTGATTCTTCCTAGCCATGAGTATGGTATATTTTTCCATTTGTTAACATCTTCAGCTATTTCTTTTCTTAGAGTTTCATAGTTCTCTTTATAGAGATTTTCACATCCTTTGTTAGGTAAACTCCCAAATATTTCATCTTCTTTGGCACTACTGTGAATGCAATAGAGTCTTTGACTGTTTTTTCAGCTTGTCTATTGTTGGTGCTACAGATTTAGACAATATCTTTAATAGTGTAGCAGTAGGGACAGTCCTCTACAGCTGGAATCCAACCCAGGGACAGAAACAACATATATTGGCTGAACACCATCCTGTCTTCAATCCACTTTTTCAGTTCCTGTTTCTCCCTCATATTCTTTGTAATTAATATTCTGTATTCAGTTCTCTCTGTTTGAAATACCTAGAGTGGTATCAGTTATCCTGATTGGATCCTGACATAGTATCTTTCCTCAACATACAATATTATATAAAAAGAACACTAAACATTAAAAAAGTTTGGTGTATATTCTTCTAGGCTTTTCTGTTTGACTTTATATACATTTATCTGAATCCATACAAATTATTAAATATTTGAATGTGTTTATAAACATATTATCATTTTGCTTGCATCATTCTACAACTTTTTTTTAAATTTAACAATTGATCTTGGAGAGCTGACCATATTGTTACATATATGAGATTTTTGCATTTATTTTAATTGATGCTTGGTGTTTGAGCAGCCATTTAGGCAGTAACAAACATGTTTTTGCAATTTTTAATAAGGTGCCATGATGAACATTCTTGCACATGTGCCAGTGTTTCTCTGGGGTAATTAACCAGAATGGAATTACAGATTTGTAGAGTGTGTGTACATTTTTACTTTTACCACAGTTTGCCCAATTTCTTTTCTTTCTTTCTTTCTTTCTTTTTTTTTTTGAGACGAAGCCTCATTCTGTCACCCTGGGTAGAATGCCATGGCATCACAGTTCACAGCAACCTCCAACTCCTGGGCTTAAATGATTCTCCTGCCTCACCCTCCCAAATAACTGGGACTACAGGTGCCTGCCACAACGCCTGGCTGTTTTTTGGTTGCAGCGGTTATTGTTGTTTGGTGGGCCTGGGCTGGATTCTAATCCACCAGCTCAGGTATATGTGGCTGGCACCTTAGCCGCCTGAGCCATAGGCACTGAGCCAATTTTTAATCAAAGTGACTGTGTCAATTTATACTTCCATCCATAGGCAGGAGTGTATCCTCTCCAATATGTGATATTTCCAAGCTCTTTTGTTTTGGTCAGCCTGGGAATGAAATGGTATCTTGTTGTTGTTCTTTAGAGTTTCAGGTCTCTATGGACTAATTTTAGCATTTGAGCATCAGCTGATAGGCTGATGATGATAACTTCAAGCTGATCTTATCAGGCTGCATGGCCCTTAACTGCATGGTTTTCAGTGGTAAGCTTCTGAGGTGACTCTTTTTGCCAAAAAGCTGCACTTAGGAAGCTCATCCTGATTTTTTGTCCGGCAAAAAATGCTGCTGAGCCTTCAGTTGGCTGAGGCTATTGACCTGGATATAGTCAAAGGAAGAAATAAAGCCCTGAGTCTGGACAAGGGCTTGATGCTCTCAGTGACTGCAGGTGCCAAGCACAGGTGGCAGCAAGCTCCCAGGGAGGGCCACAGCTTCCCTCAGGGTTCATTAAACTTAATGGAAGCTTCCAGCAGAGTCCAGTAGGGAATTATAACCTTTTTGCTTTGAGAAAACAGAAATGCGCAGACAGGAAAAAGAGGAGAAAGCTGAGCTGTTATGGTTATGCTTCGGTTAATTCTGGGTTTTTTTTTTCTTCCTACAAGCCGCTCTTGAGAAAACTAAAGGAATCATCTTTCCTGTAGAACTTAGTTATATTCTGGTGAGAAAATAACCAACTCATGCTGTTTCTGGAAGACTTAGGTTCAAGTTCAGGCTTTGACACTTTGTGACCCAGTTTTCTAACCTGTAACATTCCATCCTGCCTCCTTTGGTAGCCTCCTGGTGTTAGTAGACACAGCACCAAGACTGAGGTCAGGACCACCAATTCTAGCTTCTGCTATAACAGAAATGCCTGGGTAACTTAAGCAAGCTCCTTAAGCTCTTTTTTCCTTAGGTTTTCAATTTGTAAGAGAGCGTGAGCAAGTCCGTTCCACTGGCTTCTGTGAGATAAGGATCACAGGAGGTATGAGAGGTTAGGATAACCATATCGGATGTTGCCATTAAGTGTAAACCCAGGTGTGCAGGAAAGTGGACTGGGATTCTTTCCAAACACAAAAAAACATTATGCTTTCTTGGATAAAACCGGTTGGCCAGGACGATTTCTGGCCTGTTTTCCTAGGAAACTGGACAGGAGAGTGAGAAAGGATTTCCAAAATGAGGACAAGCTCTGAAGACCAGTCTGGCGTCCTCCCGGTTCTTCCAAGATCTCGTGGCTGGAGTCGGCTCCCGAACGCCACCTGGTGTCAGGTCTTCGCTACTGCCCAGAAACCACGTGTAAGAAAGTGCTTACAACCTAACTACGCACTTTGGTTTAGACCCAATGTAACCAATAGGGAAGGAGCAGGCGGAGCAGAGAAAAGCAAAAACCCAATCACCTCCTGCTTCCAGAGGGGAAGGAGGGGCTTGGGCTTTACCACGTTGGGTTTGTCCGCAGCGCTAATTACTTTTTCCGAAGGCTGGAAGGCTGCACTCCGGCTGGCGCCGCCGCCTCGCGCGCTCCTGCTCCGCCGCCACGGTCCTGGGGGCTGCTGGTCCCGAGTACCATGTGTGACGGCGCCCTGCTGCCTCCTCTCGTTCTGCCCTTGCTGCTTCTCTTGGTTTGCGGACTGGACCCGGGCACAGGTATTGCCCCCTTTCCCACCCCTTTTCTTCGCCTCTGTCTCTAGCGACTACCTTCTCTCTGCCGTCCGGACACATCTTGGCGGCCCGGCGCAGCGGTTGATCGCTGACAGCGCCCCAGGCGGAGAGGCGCGGGTCGCGCCAGGAGGACTGGGCTCTGGTGGCTCCGTGGCAGGCACGCCGCCGCGGGTTCTCCGTTGCCGATGCTTCGGCGCCGATCCCAGAGTGCTCCGGCAGCCGCGCCGGAGACCTTTACCAATTGGCTCGGGACAGGCAGAGGCTCCAGCCGGCAGAGAGGTGCCCAGGAGAGGGGTGGAAAGGAAGTGCTTGCTCCGGGCCGTCCCCGCGCTGGCCGGGCTAGCCCACGGCTGGACCCCGCCGCGCTGACGCGTCTCCTCTCTCCCTGCAGCTGTCGGTGACGCGGCGGCCGACGTGGAGGTGGTGCTCCCGTGGCGGGTGAGCCCAGAAGTCGTGCACCTGCCGCCGCTGCCCGGAGCTCCCGGGCCTAGACGGCGGCGGCGCCCCCGCGCGCCCCCAGCCGCCCCGCGCACCCGGCCGGGAGAGCGCGCCTTGCTGCTGCACCTGCCGGCCTTCGGGCGCGACCTGTACCTGCAGCTGCGCCGAGACCTGCGCTTTTTGTCCCGAGGCTTCGAGGTGGAGGAGGCGGGTACAGCTGGACGACGAGGACGCCCCGCCGATCTGTGCTTCTACTCCGGACGCGTTCTAGGCCACCCCGACTCCCTCGTTTCGCTCAGCGCTTGCGGCGCCTCCGGCGGCCTGGTACTGCCCGCACCCCTTCTGGGTCTGCCTGTCGGGTCCGTTGAGGCGCCTGGGTGGTCCCCGTAAAGGGCTGGGGTGGGGCGCCTCGGCGGGAATTCCAACCTCCAAGGCTACCCAGAGGGAGCCCCCCACCTCCCACCTCTTCTCACCTCGCACCCCGACTTTCTGGACTGTCCATGAGAAAAGAGGGTGGGATGGGCAGCATCAGAGTCTGGCGCTTCCCACCAGCTGAGCTGAGTCTGTGCGGAGCCTGCACAAATCCAGGTTGCTTTGGCACACACGCTTCTGAGCACAGATGTAGCATATCTAGCACAGATCAAGGATAAAACTGTCAGGGCCCTAGACACAGAGGGGCCCTTCTTCCAGGTGTAGCAAGAACACTGCGTTTGTGCAGGTGTGTATATGTGCGTGTCACAGGAACACACCTATACGTGGATAGCTTATCTATTCATGGCTAAGGAGATGGAGTGGGCATTCACCTGCCTTCCTTCCTTTTGAGTCTTTCTGTGCCTAAAAAAGAAAGTTTGGAGAGGGTCTCCAGACAGACACAGTTAACCCCACCCTTCTTAGTTGAGAAGAAGAGAGAGCATTTTGCCCTTATTCCTTATACCATTAGCAGGCCTCTGTCTGGCATCCACCCCAAGCCAGGCCTGAGGGTGCTTGCAAGGGTAAGACTCTGTTCCTGCCCCCAGAAGCTCTCTTGCTGTGAAAGCAACTTCCCTATCCCCAAGACCTTGCCCTGATGCATTTGGGGCACCTGTGACAGGTGCTCTGAGAGGCAGGGGGAGTTCTTGTGTACTGTTGCTTTTCCTGTGCTCACACTTGATCATGTGGCCACACTGGTGCCCAAACACTCCTCAGCTTCTCCATCATGCCCCGACCCAAGGAGTGCACATGGCCAACAGATGGGCTTCCCCCAGCAAAGTCTGGTATCAACTTAGAGCATGAAACACACGGGTTGTCTTTCTCTCTTTTGTCATGACTGGCCTCTGGTGAGGCAGTTTCTGATATTACTTTGTATCTATCCTTCCCAGGCACGAGAAATGCTCCCCCTACCTCATCTTGTGCCATCATATAGAATTTTCTGTTCCTTACCCAACACAGTCTGCAGCATGTCATGGAGAGTCTGCTCCCACACCTGAAAGCCTGGGTGTCCACATGTTTCTGGAAGACTTCTGCCCTCTGCTCAGCACTGTGGGGGAACTGTGGGTGTCATTTCCTAGGATCAGCCCAGTTCTCCTTTTAGGAGTTTTCTGAGATCTCATTAGAATGTGGCCCTCCTTTGCTCAACTGGGAGAAATTGGCAGCTTTAGTGAAAGAAGGAAAGTGGTATAGACCTTGGGCAGGGGGCAACTTGGTGTCTGTGGGTGAGTACACTTTAGTAGGGTGAGAAAAGCTCAGATCCCTGCAGGGCTCGGGTCAAGGCTATATCATGTTCTGGGAGGGACTGGAAGGCACACATCATTTTTCCTGTTTTTGCCAAAATGTTTAAAGTCTAGGTCACATCACTGTACTGTACGTGGAAACATCTGAATTCCATTTGCTGCGGTTTAGTGAGTTTCGGTAGAGGTCAGAGTTTATACTTCTCGGTGTAAAGTTTCCAGTGAGGAGCTATCTGTGAAGCAGCTGAGGGTGGAAATCTGGATAACATTGATTTTAAATCCTCGCAGCTTGAGATCCAGGCTCTCTAGCAGATGGCATCTAAGCCAGTTTTGCAGGGAGACTGTTTTTCCCTTAGGCACCATGTGAGGGCGCTGTGCTTTAGATAAAGGAACCCCGCCAAGAGGCTAAGTTCAGTGTGTGCCAGGGGTGGGTGGACCTCTTAAGACTTTAGCTTTTAAATTCCTGCTTGAGCAGACACTTCTGTTTAGTCTGCCTGTTCATCTCATTTGTGTGAACCGTATGTTGGGTGATTCCCCCTAAGTACACACATTGACCGAAGGCAGGAGAGCAGAGGGGATGGGGTGGCTTGGAGTGGACCTCTTGGTTGCCAGGCAGTATTGAAAGCATACAGAAAAGAAAGCAACAGATTCATTTTTGATTTTGGTTCTCAGTTCCAGTGGCTGGTAATGTGTTAGCTGCTCTTGACCATGGTAGAAGCATTGGCAAGGTGATGATGTGGGGCTGTGTGTGTTTGTCAGGACAGACCCAGCTTTAAGGCATGGGAGGAAGCAGTGTCAAGTAGATAATTTTGGTGGCTGTGGATGGGGCTATTTTAAAGCCTCCTTGTATCTAAAAAATAGAAGGAACAGGAGTCAGCAAACTTTTTCTCAAGGACCAGGTAGTCAATATTTTAGGTTTTTGCAGGCTTACATCGTAGTCTTTGTCACAGCTATTCAACGTTGCCTTTTTAGTGCAAAAGCAGCCATAGACGGTATACAGACAGATGGGTGTGGCTGTGTTCAAAAAAACCCTTATTCCGGATATTGAATATCATTTTAATTGCTAGTAAGTTCCACTGAGTCTACCTTCTCCAAAATGGCTTAGCAGTGAGTGTTGAATGCAGGGGGAGGGGGAATGCAGGCTCTGTTCTGTGTTGCACAGAACCCTTGGTGTCTGTCTCCAGACATCTTATCTGTTTAAAGATGACAGGGAACGAATAGAAAACTCCTTTCCATCTTGTTCCATCAAGAGGAGAGGCACAGGCCTGTGGCATTTCCCCTCTTTGTGTCTTATCTTGAAAGGCCTAGTCAGCTGCACTTTTTGGATCTTCAAAGACCTTGGGCTGAAGTATTAATTGTTTTCTGTTTATGCTTCATTTTATTTACATTTCCAGGAGTCTTTAGAGGACAGAATGCAGGTTTTTTGTAATACTTTCTACAACAATATAATTTCAAAGCAGCAAACTTTAGGCAGGTGAAGAGGTAGTTTCATTCCTAATGAATTTATGTAAGTTCAGATCAGCTGCTTCTGGTGGCTAGGACCAGATCATAAAGGCCAGCAGAATGAATCAAGTTAAACCTCACAGGTAGAGAGGACGGTGGAAATGGCACTTGCCCTTGAAGGACAACATGAGCATTAGGCTCTGAAAAGACTCTTTGTGGCTTGTCTGAAATGAGTGGCTGAAGGACCTATTTTAGGTAAAGAGAACAGAACAGAGGGGAGGACTGGAGGCCTCTCCCACTGGGTCTGGTCTGCTGGATAGTGGCCATTCTTTCCTTGATGGTGCTTGTAGGTTCTGGGAAGGCCACCCGCCAGAATCTGTCCACCCTTTCTTGGCTGAGGCTGTGGCCTGCCAGGGGTGCAGTAGGGGTTATTGGGACCAGAAGAACACTCTGAGCTATGGGCTATAGGACATTAAGCCATGCCCATGTTCCAGGTTATGTGAAAGACTGTGAGAAGGTCAGAAATTCTCCTCTGGAGTTACAGCCACTAGCCACCAGATCCTGATGTGCAGTCTTCCTTTTCCAGATTGGTCACTGGGGTTGACATAGTGGCCCAGCCCTCTCCTGATCTAGCTGGTCAGCCTGACTGCAGAACATGTGACCATGTTGGTAGCACATCAGCTAGGGGTGTCTTGCACCCCAGAGTTCTGGATAGCTCTTCCTCCCAGGTCACTTGGGAACTTTTTAATAAGTTGCCCTCTGTTTTGTAGGGAAAGAAAGGGAGTTCTGATAAGAATAGACAGAGGCTGAGGGGAGCCAGCAGATGAGCAGGTGGCTTAGGTTAGAAGAGGTTGGGACCCTATTTTTAAGAGGGCAGCCTGCATTTGCATGACTATTGTGATGAAGAGGCAGGTTTGGGACATTGTTGCCTCTCCCTTTAGGAGAGAATTATTAAACTCTCTGATAAATTACAAGATTACCCAGCTTTATGGTGGTGCATCACTTGATTGAATACAGCTGGGCAGGAATTTGTCTCAGCAATATTATATGCTACAGAGACCATTCGGAAGACAGTAAATAGACTACATTATTATTTTATTTTATTTTATTTTTTTTAGAGACAGTCTCACTTTATTACCCTCAGTAGAATGCCGTGGCATCACAGCTCACAGCAACCTTCAACTACTGGGCTTAGGTGATTCTCTTGCCTCAGCCTCCCAAGTAGCTGGGACTACAGGCACCCGCCAGAATGCCCAGGTATTTTTTTGTTGCAGTTTGGCTGGGGCTGGGTTCGAACCCGCCACCCTCGGTATATGAGGCCAGCACCCTACCACTGAGCCACAGGAGCTGTCCTAGGCTACATTATTATCTGCCACTATGTTGATAGGTATCTGAGGAAGGCACATAGTCCTAAGTGGTTAATATGAGTGGTTAATATACTCATGCACAGTATATGTGTATCTGGAAAATACAAAGCATGTATTTGGAGCTTTGTAAAAGGAACAGAAGAAGGGCAAAGACAGTTGTGCAGTTTGGCAGCAGGGAAGAATCAAAATGCTAAGGCCGCTGGTCTTCTTTGGAGGGATGTTCATGGAGCCTCACAGTGGCTTCTCTTTTTTTTTTTTTTTTTTGAGACAGAGCCTCTCAAGCTGTCCCCCTGGGCAGAGTGCGGTGGCATTACAGCTCACAGCAACCTCCAACTCCTGGGCTCAAGCGAGTCTCCTGCCTCCGCCTCCCAAGTAGCTGGGACCACAGGCGCCCGCCACAACGCCCGGCTATTTTTTGGTTGCAGCCGTCATTGTTGTTTGGCGGGTCCGGGCTGGGGATTCGAACCCGCCACCTTAGGTGTACGTGGCTGGCGCCTTAGCCGGTTGAGCTATAGGCGCTGAGCCACAGTGGCTTCTCTTAACCCTCTTTGTCCTCTCTTGCCCTCCATGCTGTGTGCTTCTCCTGATTATCATTGCTCAGGGCTTCGTCCAGCTGTCGCTCTCCAGAGCTGGGCTGGGCTGGGCTGGCACTTTTGAGGATGCCGGGAACAGTGGCTTCTGCCCCAAGCCACCCATGAGCATTACCTAGGGCACACAATTACATTTCTTCACTTTGAACTTCTCTTTTGTTGACAACATTTTACAAAAAGAAAAAGAAGCAGGCACAGTGGCTCATGCCTGTGATCCC